GCGGCGACGGCGGCGGCGGCGGGGGTGGCGGGAGAGGCAGCGGCGGCGGCCCGGACCCGCGGCGGCGGCGGCGGCGGCGGCAGCAGGAGGAGCAGGAGCCGCCGCTTCTCCCCATGTTGCTGGATTTCCCAGGATGCACCTCCCCCTCGCGCGCCCGCCTGCCCGCGCTCCCGCCCCCGCGCCCGCCCCAGCCCCGCCCGCTTCCCAGCCTACGCGCACGCGCGCACCCGCCCTCGCGCCGCCCCGCCCCTCCGCTCCGCTAGCTCCCGGCCAGGCCTTTCGGGGTCTGTGGGGTGAGCTAAGCCTCGGCTTGGCCCCGCGGCTGCCGGCCGTCCTCGAGCCTCGCGGGCCTCGACCGGGCGAGCGACGGCTCGGGAAGCCCGAGGCGCCCCGGGGGCGCGCATTCCGCGGAGCGAGCCCCGCGAGTTGCGGGGGCGGGGCGAGAGTGTGAGCCGGGCCGGGCCGCGCACCTCTGCCGCCCGCCGGCGCGGACCTACCCTTCGGCCTAGGGCACCCCTCGCTCCCCGCCCCGGGGGCCGGCGACGCCCGCGAGCACCCTCCCAGCCAGCCCGCCGCGGTCCCCGCCTCCCCTCCCCTCGCTGGGCTCAGAGCCCTGAGGCCGTCCTGGGGGCGGTGCGCTCGGTGGGGGTTCCCCTGAGGCGGGGAGCCCACGGACAGCCCACGGGGTTGGCGCGGCCTCGCGAGGGCCGTGGCTGGGGCTACCCTGGCCCTAGTGCTGACCCCGCGGATGCTGCCCTCCCTTTGTGTGTCTCCGGAAGACGCTGCTTTGTCTCCCGAAGGCCCCGGGAGCCGAAGGAGACCAACTCCCGCAGCTGTCCGTGTGGGCACTTAAGCCTAACAGAAAGTCGAGAAAAATTAACCACTAAGACGTGCTAAAATGAATTCCATTAGTCCTCAAGAATCACCTCCCCACCAGCCAATCAGTGGAACGCTATTGAACATCTTTTAGGTGTCCAGCACTAAAATCTGATCCCTTGGAGAAAGTGAAAATTGAGGAATAAATCTAGGAACCCTTCGAGGAGACAGCGTAAACTTGATACAGTATCTCTGACTACTGATTTGAAGAATCAGCTTAGACTTTGATCGTGAATGACCCATTCCGCCCTCACCCGTCTTAATTGTCCGTAGTTTTTACTCTGAATCTCCCCTCCTCCACGCCCACCCAGCAATTTTGTTGCATTAAAAGCAGAGGCATTTGCAACTCTCCCAAAAATATTGTGTTTGGTCCTCGTTCATCCTAGTCTCTTCCTGGCGCCTTCATCCTTTTGTTTCTGTTCACCCTCTTTTTGCAAGTCTATTTGCACCTGGATTGATTGGAACTTGGTTGTGGTCTGAGAGAAGGATCGCTGAAGGAAGAGAGTGATTGTTATTTACAAATGAATCCCGAGGAGTGGAGACACTGGTGACCCTGCCAGTTTAATGCTAATTCTCATGTACATTTAGCGTTGGATGTCTTTGAAAAGTAGCATTTCCTTGGGGAGGAACTGACCAGATCCTACCGCTAAGGGAAAGAAATCTCCATTATAATATTATAACTTGCTTCTTGCAGACTTTTGAAAAATATTTTAAATGCTTTCACTGATAAGTTATAGTCTAAAACACTTTTTTGGAACATAAAGCTATGTGTTGGTAATAGTGGTAGTGGTGGAGTTCCTAAGTATTTCATTATGCTAAGTTTGGGATGCCCACTGCTGATAACTCAGTTATGCAGGCAATACCAATAATAAACAAATGACTATAAAGCTTTCTCGTGGCTATATTGTTTATGACCCCCTAAATTAGTTTAAAAGGGGGGGGGAGACACGTTGAGGGAATTTCTTTTTTAGTGTCTTGATAGAGGAAGTGTGACATGGTAGGATACAGAAAGCCAGTTCAGAAGCAGCTGAATGGAGGATGAATTGAAGTGGGGAGACAACTGGAGGCAGGCAAACCCACCAGCAGCTACTGCAGTTGTTTGGGCTTGAAATGATGAGAGCCTGCAGGGTGAGGGGCAATCAGGGGCCCTAGGCTGTATATGAGTTGGGAGCATGTTCAGAAGAAAGCAGCAGCTATGTGGCTTAGAGCCTAGAAGCAGAGTGGCATCTCAGTTCCAGCCTCCAGCTCAGTCTGAAGCCTGCAAAGGAAAACCAAGGCAGGAATCCCAGACTAAAGTTCTATCCTTCAGTTCTATCCCTCAGAACCAGCATAACTTTCTAACTAGTTCACAGTGTCTGAGTAGAGTAGTTCTGCCTACTGGAACTCCAAGCAACCAAGCCCAGAGGCCAGTTGCTCAGACCCGAATTCATATCAGGAACTTGCAGAGCTCGGACCAAGAGAATAGCAATCAGACTCTGCCCTTGATCAGACTCTTTTGGGAGCACTAGAATCTTGTATAGCTTAGAACTGAGCTATCCTTGAGATATAACTGGAATAACCCAATACTCAGTACCCAAGAAAACAATAGCAGGACAGTCTAGACATTCCCTTCAGAAGTGTGCAGAACCTGGCCCTAACACAACATCTGAAGTCAGGAAATAGACTGGAAGAATGAGCAAACAAAAAAGAATTCTACCATTAAAGACAGAAACCCAGAAGAAGAGAATGATTCCAGAACATCAATAAGCAAAGCCTCAAAGAAAAACATGGCTTGGACACAAAGTCAACTAGAATTCCCAGAAGAAAAGAAGCAAGAGTTAAAAAAAATGAAAACTTTTTATAAATGAAATGAGAGCACTGAAGTAAAAAAAAAAAAAGGAAAAGAAAGGAGAATTAACAAAGAATTGGAAAGGGAATTAACAGGGGAAAGACATAAAAGGTACAAAATCCTGCCAAAGCAACAAACTCCTTGAAAGTTAGAATGCACCAAATAAAAGCCAATGACTCCACGAGATAAAAAATATTAAAACAATATTAAATGATTGGGAAAATAGAAGAAAATATAAGACATCTTATATTTAAAACAACTGACTTGGAAAACAGACGAAAGAGAGAAAAATTAAGAATGATTGGACTAGCTGAAAGCTATGACCTAAAAAGAACCTAGAAATGATGGTTCAAGAAATCTTGAAAGAATAATGCCTAGATCCTTAGAACCAGAGGAGGGCAAAGTAGAAATAGAAAGAATCCACTGGTCACCTCTTGAAAGAAACTCCAAAGGGAAAACTCCCAGGAGTTTTCATAGCCAAAATTCAGAGGTTCTAGGTCAAAGAAAAATGCTTCAAGCATCCAGAGAGAAAGATTTAGAATACTGAGGAACCATAGTCAGAATCGCATACTATTTGGCAATCATCACTAAAAGGAGGGGAGAGTTTAGAATACAATATTCTAGAAGGCAAAGGATATTGGTTCATTGCCAAGAATAATTTACCCAGCAAAATTGAGCATAATCCTGCAGGGGGTCAGGGGGGAATGGATATTTAATGAAATAGAAGATTTTCAATCATTCCTAATGAAAAGACCAGAGCTGAGTAGAAACTCTGAAATGCAAACGAAGGATTCAAGAGAAACATAAAAAGGTAAACATGAATGAACAATTACAAAGGGCTAAACGAATAAATTGCTTATGTTCTAACTTGCATATCGTATAATTCTTGTAATTTGTATGTGGAAATTCTCTTTATTTGTCTGTCTTTCTTTGTCTCTCTGTCTCTGTCTGTCTCTTTCATTTAAAGTTAGAACAAAAAAATTACTCACCTTGGAATATTCTACATTCTAGCCATTCTGGCCTTTTTGCCATCACTCACACATGGCACTCCATCTTCTATTGCCAGACCTTTGTATTCTTTGTCTTTTATACCTGAAACACTATCCCTCTTCCCCACCATTTTTTGGAATCCCTAATTTCCACCGAGACTCAGCTTAAGCACCACTTTCTGCACAAAGCCTTTTCTGATCTCCCCAGATTCTAGAGCATTGCCCCCAAGGTTAACTAATAGGGAGGAAGGGTAAGGGAAGGAAGAGGAAGAGTAAGCATTTATACAGTGCCTACTCTAGGAGCACTGTGCTAAGTACTTTACAAATATTATCTTATTTGTTCTTCACAACAGCCTTGTGAGGTAGGTGTTATTATTATCACAATGTTGAGACAAAAAAATAAGGTTAAGTGACTTACCCATGGTCACCCAGCTAGTAAATATCTGAGGCTAGATTTGAATTTGAATTCAGGTCTTCCTTACTCCAGGCTCAATGCTTCATCTACTGAACTACCTACCTGCTATTTACATAATGCATACATACATACATACACACACATATGTGTGTGTTTTTTCTTCCCCATTAGAATGTAAACTCCTTGAAGGCAGGGATTGTTTTCATTTTTGTATTTGTATCTCTAGCAACAAGCTAGTATCTAGCACATAGTTTGATAGGGATAGGGATTAGTCCTATGATTTCCTTGGTATAGAGAACTTCAGAGTGAAGAAACTCAGCTAACTAATGCAAGTTAGCAGCTTTCCTTTAACTTACAGAATTAGAGAGTTGCTTAGAGCATGAGTTAAGTGACTTGCCCAGGGTCCCATGGCCAGGATATGTCAGAGGCAGAACTTGAATTCTGTTCTTCCTAACTTCAAGTTCAATTTCTCTATCCACTACATTTCAACAAATATTTGTGAATTGATTGGGGAAAAAAAGAGATAGAGTGTGCTAATAATCTCCTACTCTTTATATCCTCTACAAACATTAGATTAGCTGTTGGTGTTCTAAATGTGAGATCTATATCCAAAGACCAATGAGTAGACATTCTACTGAAAAAACTGAACTGTGGCAATCTTGATATTTTCACAATAAATGAAACTAGGAGACAACAGGAAATTATAGTTCATTGGAGAAATAAAGGAGTGGGGGGGTTGGTTTTATTATACATACAAAGGCAACAAGAAGCATCATTTAATGGAATATTTTATTATCTTGTACAGTAGGACTCATGAAAAGTATTTGCAAAAAGACAAATAATTGCAGCTTACATCAAAGGATGAGGAGGTAGAGAAAGTCTGTGAATAACTTGATAGGACCATTCAAATTAGAGCAACACATACTTTGATGATCAATGACTATGCCATGCCCTACAAAGGTAAACGTGGAGGAGGATAGTAAGTGTGTATGTATGTGTGTGTGTGTGTGTGTGTGTTTGCGCATGTGCACATGTGCATGGGCATATTGGAAAATATGGTTTAGGAGGAACAATTGAGAGAGGCCAGAGACTTTTAGAACACACAGAAACTTCACATCATAAATCATTGCTTCTAGAAACGACTCAAGGAATGCTGGATATGACAAACTTCAAGGTAGCCAAATAATATCAGAAAAAAATAAAATTGATTGCAGTGTATATGTCTATTTATCCCAATCTTGACCAACCCATAAGGGTCAAGGATCATGGTTGCTTTTTTTAGTCCATTTTTAAAATAATGAACTTGACAAACATCAATAAACATCATTCCATGTACAAGAAGAACAGGAAGAATTGCATAGCAAGCCTTGAACCTCATGTATAGCTTTAAAAAAAAATTTAACTTAGTAAAATGTTAAATGATTTTGACATGGTAATTCTAGTACCATCCTGCTAGTTACTGTCTCTCTGAACTTCTGCTTTCTCCTGTGTATGTTAGAAATGTTTTGTTAATACTCTTTTATGTCTTTTCTTCTTTTTTGGCATCACTATTAGGGCAGTGATGTGGTACGGTTCCTGGACTTGGAGTCAGGAAGACTTGAGTTTGAATCCTACCTTAGATATGTGTGATCCTGGACAAGTTACTTCACTTCTCTCTGATTCAGTTTTCACATCTGTAAAATGAGGATAATTATAGCACCTATCTCATAGGATTGTTGTGAGGATCAAATGAGATTACGAATATAAAATGTTTTGCAAACTTTAAATCACCATGTAAATGCTAACTGTTATTAATATATCCCCTACCAAACCAATAAATAAGAAGTAAGCAGCCTCACTTGTAACAAGTAAATATAGTCAAACTAAACAGACCACATGCATTTGACATGTTAGAATATATATGTCTCATTCTATATACCTCCAGTTCATTCTATCTCTGTCAGAATTTAGGTAGTACACTTTATCACTGGTCTTCTGGAGTTGTAGTTGTTCATTGCATTAATCAACACTTTTAAGCCTTTCAAAGTTGTTTTCCTCTGCATTATTGTTGTATAAATTGTTTCTCAGCTTCTATTTTACTTTGCACCAGGTCACACAAGTTTCCGTCCTCCATTTCTCCGAATCTATCACTTTAGTTCTTACAGTGCAGTAATATTTCATTACATCCATATACCATAATTTACTCAGCTATTCCTATTACCCAGCTGATGGGCACCCGCTTTGTTTCCAGTGTAATTGATGATGTTTTTATTGACATGAAACAACAAATTATTGATTTGTTAGTCATTCCTAAATGAACTATACCAGATCACTGAAGTGTTAAAGTAAAGATCAAAATTAATACAGAGCTAGAATAAAGAATCAAATGAGAAAAAGAAATGATGTACAATTAAAACAACTCCTGCCTGTCTAAACATATTGTGTAAGAAGTATGGAATAGATGGAGAAAGGGACATTAATATGGTTATAACAATTTCCTAAAGAAATTTAACCAATGTAAGTTAATATCCATAAAAAGGAGACCAAAAAAAGCAACAACTTCAGAAACAACCTCAGCCGATAAACACTTGACCTTTCCAAGTGGAGAACTCTGATCACCCAGGCCAATGCTGGTTTAGAATATAAACTCATTTGAAAAAAATCCTTCTAATACAGGAAAATTATGAGCAATATCATCTAAAGAAACAGCAAGAAGCAGTAGAAAGGAAAACAAATTTAGAAAAAGCTTGGCAGGCGACTCAACTAAGCAAAGCCATCTCAAGAGAATGTAAGGATAAAATCAGGAGGACAATAGACAGATAAAACGTGAAAAAAAATGTGGAGAGACTTTTATAACATCTATTCACCATCAAGAGCAATGAAACCATCCCATTTGGATTCCAGCGTTACAGTCTGAGATGTGCTATAAAACAAAGTAGAAATGGCATTGAAGAAAACAGAGATACAAGAAGACCGGAAATGTAGGAGGGGTCAGGTTATGGAGGGCTTTAAAAGCCAAACAAAGGATTTTATACTTGATCCTGGAGGTAATAGAGAGCCACTAAAGTTTATTAGATATGGAGATGACATCATCTGATATGCCTTTTATGAAGATCAAATTGACAAGCAAAAAGAAAGACAGCCCTTGACTTCAAAGAGCTTCCATTCTCTGACATACTCAACAAGGCTCCATCCAGCCTGTGTTTGAATACCTATAGTGAGGAGAAGCCAATTGCCTCCTGAGGCTGCCGCCCGTTCCACTTATGGAATGATCAGAAGTTTATCCTGACATCAAGTCCAAGTTTGTTTATTTACGGCTTCCACTCATTGCTTCCAGTTCTGTCCTCTGGGGCCTAATAGGATGAGTCTGATCCCTCTTTCACATAACAGCCCTTCAAATACTTGGAGACAATTATCATTTTTCACTAGCTCTGAAATATTCAGTTCTCAGGGGTAAATATCCCCAATTTTTTGTTGTTGTTTGTTTATATATTTTATTTTTCTCAATTACATGCAAAAATATTTAACATTCATTTAAAAAAATTTTGAGTTCCAACTTCTCTCCTTTCCTCTACCCCTCCCTCATTGAGAAGAAAATCAATTTGATACGGGCTATACATGTTCAGTCATGCAAAATGTATTTCCTTGTTAGTCATGTTGCAAAAGAAGACAGACAAAAAACCAACCTAAGAAAAATAAAGAAAGTTTAAAAAAAAAGTATGCTTTCATCTGCATTCAGACTCCATCAGTTCTTTCTCTGGAGGTGGATATCATTTTTTATCACAAGTCCTTTGGAATTGTCTTAGATCACTCTATTGATGAGAATAACTAAGTTATTCATAGTTGATCATTGTACAATATTGATGTTACTGTGTACAATGTTCTCCTGGTTCTGCTTACTTCACTTTGCATCAGTTCATATAAATCTTTCCAGGTTTTTCTGGAAGCATCCTGCTCATCATTTATCATAGCACAATAGTTTTCCATCACAATCATATACCACAACTTGTTCAGCCATTCCCCAATTGATGAGTATTTCTTAATTTCCAATTTTTGCCACCTCAAAAAGAGCTGCTATAAATATTTTTGTACCTATAGGTCCTTTTCCTTTCTTTTTTTTAATCTCTGTGGGATACAGACCTAATAATGGCATTGCTAGGTCAAAGGGTATGCAACTTTATAGCCCTTTGAGTACAATTCCAAATTGCTCTCCCAAATAGTTGGATCAGTTCACAACTCCACCAAGAGTGCATTACTGCTCCAATTTTCCCATATTCCTTCCAAGATTTGTCACTTTCCTTTTCTGTCATATTAGCTAATCTGATAGGTGTGAGGTGGTACCTCAGACTTGTTTTAATTTGCATTTCTGTAACCAATAATGATTTAGACCAATTTTCATGTGACTATCGATTGCTTTGATTTCTTCATTTGAAAACTGTCTGTTCACATCCTTTAACCATTTATCAATTGAGGAATGATTTCTATTCTTATAAATTTGACTCACTTCTCTGTATATTTGAAGAATACAGCATTTATCAGAGAAACTTGCTATAAAATTTTCCCCCCCAGTTTCCTACTTTCCTTCTAATCTTGGCTGCATTGGTTTTGTTTTTGCAAAAACTTTTAAATATAATGTAATCAAATTTATCCCTTTTACATCCTGTAACGCTCTCTATCTCTTGTTGGTCTTCCTTTATCCATAGATCTGACTGGTAAAGTTTTCTGTGCTCCCCCAATTTATTTATGATATCTCCCTTTATGTCTAAATTGTGTACCCATTTTGACATTCCTTTGATATTCTTGACCTTTTGTTCTTCCAGATGAATTTTGGTTTTTTTTCTAGCTCTATAAAATAATTTTTGGTAGTTTGAATGGCATGGCACTGAATAGGTAAATTAATTTAGATAGAATTGTCATTTTTATTATATTGGCTCAGCCTACCCATGAACAATTAATATTTCTCCAGTTGTTTGGATATGACTTCATTTGTAATTTTGTAATTGCATTCGTATAGTTTCTGGATTTGTCTTGAGAGATAGTTTTTTGCTGTTGTTCAGTCATGTCCAACTCTTTGTGACCTTATTTGGGGTTTTCTTGGCAATGATGCTAGAGCGGTTTGCCATTTCCTTCTCCAGCTCATTTTTCAGATAAAGAAACTGAGACAAATAGGGTTAAATGACTTGCCCAGGGTCACACAGCTAGTAAGGGTCTGAAGCCAGATTTGAACTAGAAAGAAGAGTCTTTCTGATTTCAGGCCCAGCACTCTATCTACTGCACCACCTAGCTGCCCCTTGACAGGTAAACTCCCAAGTATTTTATATTGTTTGAAGTAATTTAAAATAGAATTTCTCTATCTCTTCCTGCTGAGATTTGTTGCTAATATACAGAAATGCTGATGATTTATGTGAGTTTATTTTATATTCTGCAGTTTAGCTGAAGTTGTTAATTATTTCAACTAGTTTTTTTAGCTGATTCTCTAAATATGTTATTATATCATCTGCAAAAAATGATAGTTTTGTTTCCTCACTGCCTATTCTAATTCTTTCAATTTCTTTTTCTTCTCTTATTACTATAGCTAGTATTCCTAGTGCAATATTGAATAAACATGGTGATAATGAGCATCCTTGTTTTACCCCTGATCTTATTGAAAAGGTTTCAAGCTTATCCTCATTACAGATAATACTTGTTGATAGTTTTAGATAGGTACTACTTATCATTTTAAGGAAAGCTTTATTTATTTCTATGCTTTCTAGTGTTTTTAGTAGGAATGAGTGTTGTATTTTATCAAAAGCTTTTTCTGCATCTATAGATATAATAATATGATTTTTATTGTTTTTGTCATTGATATGGTCAATTATGCTGATAGTTTTCTTAATATTGAACTGGCCCTGCATTCCTGGTATAAATCCCACCTGGTCATAATGTATGATCTTTGTGATATATTATTGTAATCTCCTCACTAGTATTTTATTTAAAACTTTTGCATCAATATTCATTAGGGAAATTGGTCTATAGTTTTCTTTCTCTGTTTTTTCTCTTTCAGCAAAAAAGCACCATATTTGTCTCATAAAAGGAATTTGGTAGGGCTCTTTCTTTGCTACTTTTCCAAATAGTTTATATGTAGTATTGGAATTAATTATTCTTTAAATGTTTGGTAGAATTACTCATGAATCCACCTGGTCCTGGGAATTTTTTCTTAGGGGTCTCATTTATGGCTTCTTCAATTTCTTTTCCAAAGGTAGAGTTATTTAGGTATTCTATTTCCTCTTCTATTAGTGTGAGCAATTTATATTTTTGTAAATATTCATGCATTTTACTTAATTTATCAGATTTTTTGCCATATAGTTGGGTAAAATAGCTCCTAATAATTGCTTTAATTTCATTTTCATTGATGGTGATTTCACCCTTTTCATTTTCAATACTGGTAATTTAGTTTTCTTCTTTTTTAAATCAAAGTAACCAGTGGTTTATCTATTTTATTGTTTGTTTGTTTGTTTTTTCAAAAAACCAGCTCTTACTTTTAATGATTGGTTAGTTCAATGGTTTTCTTACTTTCAATATTATTATTTTCTCCTTTGATTTTCAGAATTTTCAACTTGGTGTCTATTTGGAGATTTTTAATTTGTTCTTTTTCTAGTTTTTTTTTTTTAGTTGCATGCCAAATTCGTTGATCTGCATTTTCTCTATTTTGTTGATGTAAGCATTTAGAGATATAAAATTTCCCTAAGTACTTTGGCTGCATCCTATAAATTTTAGTATGTTGTCTCATTGTTGTCACTCTAATGAAATTATTTATTGTTTCTGTGTTGTTGTTTTAACCAATTTGTGTATGATAGCTGGAGGTAGTTTGGTGGCACAGTGGATGGAGGAGTCAGGAAGACTTGAGTTTAAATCTTGCTTCAGACATTTATTCCCTGTGTGATCCTGAACAAATAACTTAATCTCTATCTGCCTCAGTTGAATAGGAAAAAAAAAATAGCACCTCTTTCCCAGAGTTGTGAGAATCAAATGAGATAATATTTGTAAAGTGCTTAGCAAAGTACCTGGCACATAGTAGGTACTTGGTAAGTGTTTGTTTCCTTCTCTCCTTTATATGACATCAATTTAAAGTGCTTCAATATCCTGGTTCCCTCC